TGGCAGGGGCGGTAAAGTTATCCCATAGCTTGAACTGCCTCCAAAAATACTGGAAAAAAGGATATGCCTGAGTTAGAGGTTGCATATCCGCAAATCGCGAATAAGGGAAGTCCCTATGAATACAGGGAGGGTGTGATAGCTACGAAGTAGGCGGGGGCTACGGGGAGGCACTCCCGTCAGCTGTACAGGCTGTTCGAGTTTGTCGTGTTTTCGTTCCGGAGTTATTCATCGCGCCTCGTCAGCTGTGTCCGCTGGCTCCTGAGGGTCCGTTGCCCCATATTTCGCCCGTAGGTAGTCCTCTGCTTGCTTTCTCTCCGCCTTCGTCATCTGCGTGCCGTGCTGTCTGAGGTCTTCGAGGGCTGCTCGATTGGCATCCTCTTCGTCCCTCACCTGCGCAGCTGAATTGGTAGCCGACGGCTCCTCGGGAGGCTGCTGATTGCTCTGCTGCTCAGCAGGATGAGGAGGCGTTTGCTGCTGAGTTTCGTGATGCTCTCCGGCCCCTGAGGCAGGAGGTTTTGGATCGGGGTTAGCCATTTGAACCTCTTCACCTGAAGTCAACAACGGAACTAGTACATCCACCGCGATGCACGCTACACGGATGATGCTGAAGTGGCGCTGAGTCGAGGCGCCTGTGCCGAAAATGATGACCGCAATGAGAGACAGAAAGCGGAAAAGGAAATCCATAGTCCCAAGAAACAAAAAAACGCTGCGATACTAATGGCAAATAAGTCCAGTTGAAGATACGAAAAGCAGAGCAGTCAGCCATCTCTACTGCAAGCCTACCTGGAAGGGGATGCGCACACGGCGAGTCGGCCTTGTTGCGGGGCAGAGGTAGCGAAGAAGGAAACACGTTACACTAAAGCACTCGATTATGTTTGTTATGCTTTGAAATGGGAATAAATATTCTTTTACTCCTGCGTTCTCTGGGGCTAAGAAGTTGCTCCCGCCATTCTGCCGCATCCGGGTCCCGGTGGGTGGAAGACAAGTGACCCCATGAGCTGTAATGTGTCTGCCTACCTATGCTTATTGTGCTCGAAAACGTGGATGCTGTTGATAAACTGGCTCTTTAAATTCATTTTTATTTCTAAAGTAAGTATGCTTGAGCCGGGAAACACATTTTAGTCTGGATGCGCCATCGCTCATATCGTGGTGGTTCGACCAGTGGTACGTTAGCTAGCTGGACGCAGCGGGCAAGATATCGCTCTAATCTGTCATAATAGTATTGCTTGCTGAATATCCTTATCCCAATGGTGGGTGAATGCAGGAGCAGTCATATAAGATCGCTCTGTATTCCACACACCCTCTCCGCCAAAGGGCCCTTCTAATGTTCCTTGTAGCCCGCAAAGTGATCCACAGAATTCTACGGGAAGTGTGGAGAAAGCATTAGCTA